CCTTTACAGCACTATTAAAAGTTACTACTACACTAAGAACTCAAAGGAATGATTCCATTTCAGGCATTCAAACAGAAAAATACAAATGCAGAGCCTTTTCCCTTAAATACAATAGAGTGCTCAGTTTCCACAGAAAGTTGTAGGAAATCTTCAGCCTTTGTGTTATTTCCCGGGGGAGTGTGGTGAGAGAGTCCCCAGAATGCATGGGAGTAGCTTAGGAAGCAGACTAGGTGAGGAGCTAAGGACATCTTTTCCGTGTGAAGAGTTTCATGTATCTGTGTTTCCTTTCATGTTTAAAAATCCTAAAATGATAAAGATACCTAAATCTGATTTCCAGTCCACAGACACTGACTTTGATGGTGAAATATCGAGGATGGCAAAGAGTCTTATATTTTAGATAATCTAGAACGAAGATCAGCATGATGCATTTCTATCAGGTGCAATTCCTGGCTCTGGGGAGTTCTTTTTACTCTGTAACTTTGCATCAATGCTGAAGACAAGGAGATGCTGTCCAAAACCCCGGCTGCCCTGCCCATGCTAGAGTCAAAGGCTTGCAAAAACATACACAAGTTTTGCTAACCTGCATGCTTGTAGAGCAGAACTCCACGTAGGACATTTGCTTCAGGGAACAATTTTTGTGTGATTTACGCATTTTAGGCACCCCTGCCACAAATACTGCTGCCTTAATGGGAGTCATGGGATTTGAAAAGTAAGAGGGAGAGAAAGTAAATTAAAAGAAATCTCCCATCCCTGGCTCCTGTGGATTGCTTTTGTAATTGAGATGAGTTTAGCCACTTTTGCCGGAGGCTATGTCCTGAGGCTAGCCCACCGTCCTGGAAACTTTCTATATTTTTTTGCTGGCAAGACTGCAGAAAGGAACTGATTAGTGGGAAAGTCAGTGGGAATCTCTCCAAACCAAAGTAGGAGACAAAAGAGCAAAGTGACAGAAACAGGAAGTCTCTGTAGATCCTCTGCTGGCATTAACCCTTTCTGATTTGAATTCCTTTAGGGTTAACAAGTTATTTAAATTGTTCCCAAGCATTAAAACATCTTCAAGTTATAAGGCAGCTAAAACCTCAACCCAGAATTTATGCAGAAACAACTAGTGGGTCCTTAGTACAAAATAAAATCATTTATCTGGTGATTGATTGCAATGTTTAAAGAAATATTAAGTCCATTTTAAGTCAAGCCACCTTGTAAAACATTCTCCAGGTCTGGTCTATAATTTTTGGAAGTGCAGAGAAATTTGGAATCCATGCAACAGCTATTGTTCAAGCGTGGTCCACAGAGCCACACCAACAGTCTTATCTGGTCCCCGAGAGAACTGCATGATAGCAGCTGTGTAGTTAATTCACTGAATCAGAAACTCCAGAGACAGGGTCCCTTACTCTCAGTTTGCACAATCTCTTCACTGATTCTGAAGCTCTCAGAGTTAGGGAAATACTTACACAGTTAAAGGAAAAACTCACCAGAAATAGACAAGATGTATGAAAGCGTACTTTAGCCAACAGCTCCAAGCCAGAGATCAGCACAGCCATGGAACTGACCTGCAGAAACAAATCACTAGCTCATGCCATCCTGCATTCCTCTGGTATGTACGCAGATCAAACGTTCTAGTAGGATCTGGAGATTACTTGTGGGTAAGTAGATATGAACCAGCTTCTATTATGTATCTGCTCACACCAAGAGCTCTTACTGATTAACATTTTAAATTTAATTTTTCACTTAGCCTTTATGAAGTAGCTGTTGTGATCCTATTTATTAGCAAAGGAAACAAAATTCTCAGAGGTTAAGGAACTTACGCACGGTCGGTCCTCAAGCAAATAAAGATGAAGGTGGAAACTGACGAGTGTCTGTCTAGCTTCAAAGTTTCTGATGTTTTCACAGCATGACACAGTATGCCCAAATCTGGCTAGTGCATATATATTAGCTCACATAAATAATGGTGAATTTTTTCCTTCAAATATTGTGAAAAGTATCATTCAATAAAATAAGCTACAAAGGTAAAATAAATAAATAAATAAATAAAACAGAACCTGGTTTCTAGAAAAAAAAAATTTTTTAATAAGGAGCAGAAAACACTGAAGGTTAAAAACAAGTGACTGATACAGGAAACTTATCAAGTGAATGCACACGTGTGTGGCTGTGTATGTAAATATGTGCTCGTATGCAGACGTGTGCAAAAATCAAAGCAAATACACATACATGCTTTGTGTGTGCAAGTGCCAAGTGTGCACATGTGTTTGTGCATTGTTTAAATGTGTGTATATGGTGTATATGGTTGTGTGTGATTTATGTCCAAAGTATAAGTAAATTTCTCTGTACGTATGAAAGTATGCATGTGTACACATCGTGTGTACATGTGTGTGAATCCTGTGTGTTGTATGTTTAGTGTATACCCATGTATGCTGTGCACATGTGTTATTTTGTGCTTGCATGCAGATATATAGATGTACGTCTGCATGAATCCCATGTGTGAAGTATTGCACATATGAGTCATGCATTGTGAAGCCTCTGTATATGTGTGAGATGTGTGCATGTGTGCATGGAGTGTGAGATATATTTAATGCAGTAGTAATCTGTGTGACTATATTGAGATGCATATATGAGAGGTGTGTATGTGTGCAGTATGTGTTTGTCTGTGTTTCTATTTGTGACTATCAGGATATTTAAGACATTTTTCAGAAAAACAGAATTAAAATAGGTTTATTTTGTTAAAAAGAATTTTGAAATCCATTCATAGTTTTTTTCATAATGTGTGTTTTCCACAAAATTTTTTGGACACTCCTGTTTGCACAGATGTGTGTCTATTCGTGTATTTCCAGGGTAAGTGAAAAAGCAGGAATCTACAGGATCCTCTTTTGAAGCAGGCTTAATTTAAGGGCCAATTCTAGTCGCACCCATCGCTCACAGCCTAGGGAAGTCTGCAAGGACCTTGGTTACACCCACTCATTTTTGTGGAAAACAGCCTGGTCCAGGTCATACTGAGAGTGAATTGCAGAGCTGAGCTTGGAACCAGGCTTCTGCTGCCGACTCAGCCTGGCTCTACGTTCTGCTGCCACCAGAGAAATCAAAATGATCCAGCCAGCCTCACACTATTTAGGGCCCCAGATAATCTCCTCATTGATTGGTTAGCCAATTGTTCATAGCGATTTTTGAAAGATTAACATAAGAAAATCATTGTCCCAAGTTTCATGGTTAACCACACGATTCTTGCTCCTTAATGGAAGCCAAGTGTGTCTTAGCTAATTAAAAAAAAAAAAATCTCAAATCTAAGTAATATAAGGCAATGTGAACACTGGAGAATGTGCATCCCATATGATAGCCTGGGGCAGGTTCATTGTCATGGCACAGCTTAGGGGTGAGCCTTAGATGTCACACTGTGAGGACACCAGCCGTACATGCTCCAGAATGGCTGGACAATTTAATCTCACTTTTGTCCTCTCTTGCATGATCAGGGATGACAAGGAAGCAAATCAATCTCATGTCCTTATGTAAGAGTCGTGTGTGCCACAGGCCAGACAACAGGACTAGGGTACAGGGTGACTTTGGTTCCAGAGTGTAGGAGGTAAACTCTGCCCACACTGCAATTTCTCTGAGGAACAGTGGCCACAGACAACCCTTCTGATGTCCTTCAGGGACACCTTCCTGTGGGCCGTTATGTCAAAGAAACCTGAGCAAGAGGACATGCGTGGCTCAGCCTAAGTCCTTGTCTGTCACAGGAAAAACAAGCGATGTGAAGTCTTAACTGATGCTGCTGGTGGTTGAGGGTCCCCACAACTGTATCCTATGGCTTCAAATGTAAACGCTCTGAGGAACAGGATGGCCACTGATCCGGTTGACTTCATTGCTAACATATTTCACATAATAAACCTTAGTTGCTTTTTATAAGACAAAGAATGGATTCAGATCATCACTCTTAAGCCAAGTTCCTTTAATATCTCTCAGCATCTTGTATCTTGGACAACTGTATATCTTACCCAGCATTTGGAAATAACAATGAACACGCACCTGAAGAAGGTATTAAGCCTCTCCCAGAGAGTGGATCCTCAACCAGGGCTGTCTCCAGAGCGACCTTTGCGGTCTCAGAAAACCAACCAAGTTTACAAACCCGTTTCTTGTTAAGAAACTAGGAATAACTGACCATGAAACTAACTTTAAAGATCTGTTTTAAAAGTAATCCATGGATACCCAGTCATGATTTTTCAGCTGTAAGCATATGCCAATCAACACCATTAATGACAAAAAGAAGTTTTTCATTTAACCATCCTCATCAACCCAATCAGGTTACTAAATGCCTACCAGAATATCTGATGTTCACTTTCAGAGCCAGTACCTACCTGCATAGCTGAATTAACAAAACCTGTTCGAAAAGTCAGGAGCTTCAAACTCTTAGAGATCATCAAAAGCATGTGAAAGTTTGTTAAAACGCAAATGTTGGGCCACCGAGTTTTTGACTTACTAGTTTTGACCAAGGCCAGATAATTGTTTCCATTTTTTAAAGATGTATTTATTTTTATTGGAATGTCAGATACACAGAGAGGAAGAGAGACAGAGAGGAAGATCTTCCACCCGCTGTTCACTCCCCAAGCAGTCGCAACGGCCAGAGCTGAGCCAATCCAAAGCCAGGAGCCAGAAGCCTCTTTCAGGTCTCCCATATGGGTACAGGGTCCCAAGGCTTTGGACCATCCTTTTGTTGCTTTCCCATGCCACAAGCAAGGAGCTGGATGGGAAGCAGAGCTGCTGGGATTACAACTGGCGTCCATATGGGATCCTGGTGTGTTGAAGGCAAGGACAACCTGCTATGCTACAGCGCCGGGCCCATTATTTGCATTTCTAACAAATTGTCAGATGATGCTTAGGCTGCTGATCTGTGCACCATACTCTGGGAACCTTTGCAGTAGAATAGCAGTGCCGTACAGGTGCACTGCCATGTCTTTCTGAGTTCTAGCTGCTTCTCACACCCCCTCTCCGCACCTCTCTTTCCTTTGCAGGGAGAGATGCTAAGGTCAGCTTATTTCCTGCTGCTGCTGCTGCTGCTTTTCCCAGAAGGTCCACGGACAGGCCTTTCCCATAACCTCTACAAAGACAAGCCCACCTTCAGCTGCCTCAACACTGCCCTCTCTGCAGCCAAGAAGAGCCAGCTGGGAGACGTGCCCCCGCTGAGCAAGGCCAGCTTCTTCTACCTGTCCAACCAGGATCCATCCTCAGAAGAAGAGCAGGAGGGAAAAGAAAACCAAGACAAAGTGAAAAGGACTTCCCCTGGCTCTGGGGGTAACAGTGGATCTGGAAATATCCGATACAAATACCTGTCCCAAGCACAGCTCAGGGGCAAAGTGTACCAAGACAAGGGCAAGAGCGACCGGCACAGCAAGCTCACTCTGTCCCTCGACGTTCCCACCAACATTATGAACATCCTCTTCAACATTGCCAAGGCCAAGAACCTGCAGGCCAAGGCCGCTGCCAATGCCCACCTAATGGCACAGATTGGGCGGAAAAAGTAGAAACAATAGCCAGGCAGGTGGCAACATGTCAAGGACAGAGTTTAGGGGTGGAGACTGATGGAGGACTGAGGCTGTGCCTTCTAGCTGGTTTGCATTACTGGGGATGAATCCAGTTTGTACAGGCTGCTTTATTGCTGAACCCCCCATTGTTTTCTTGTCTGCAATCCTGTTTCCCTTCTGATCTGTAATTGCCCATAGACATACAGTGTTATTCAGTCTTCACAGATGTAAGATGGTTCATTTCTCTCCCAGTATTCTGTGTCTTGTTTCTCCTTTCCCAATGGCAAGAGGCGAAGGTCTCCCATGCCTCCTCTCCAGGCTTGTCCCCACTCACCTCCTGTCTGAGAAGGGAGCCCTCGGGGCTCCTCTCCTTTGTGTGCATCAACTCCTGCCAAGCAAGAGAGAAAAGGAAATACCATTAGGATCATCTTCCCACCAAATCCCTTTCCTACCTTTTCAACCCCATTGAAACCAATGGCTCTGGCCCAGCACGATAGCATAGTGATAAAAGTCCTCGCCTTGCACACGCCAGGATCCCATATGGGCGCCAGTTCTAACACGGTGGCCCCACTTCCCATCCAGCTCCCTGCTTCTGGCCTGGGGAAGCAGTTGAGGACAGCCCAAAGCCTTGGAACCCTGTAACCACATGGGAGACCCGGAAGAGCTCCTGGCTCCTGGCTTTGAATTGGCTCAGCTCCAGCCGTTGCGGCCTCTTGGGGAGTGAACCATCAGACAGAAGATCTTCCTCTTTGTCTCTCTTATTCTCTGTATATCCGCTTTTCCAATAAAAATAAATAAATCTTTAAAAAACAAACAAACAAAAAAAAACAATGGCTCCCTGAGCTCCTGGTTTCAGTTCCTCTTCCTTCAAATTCTGATATTGGAAAAGGGAAGGCTAATGAGGGCTGCTTCTGATGAGTTAATTTCCAGTCTTTCCCAGGAGGCAAGTGTTCTGGGGACGTCTTAGGAGTAAAATAGAGCTTTATTCATCAATCCCAATGGCTTGATTCTACCCAAGGATTAATATGGGATCTGTTTCAGAGTGGGAATCCAGGCTAGAAGGAAGAGGAAGCTTCAGACTATTCACTGAGGGATGAGTACTGTGGCTCAGCAGATTCTCACCCCTTGGGATGCCCACATTTGGTACTGGAGCACCAATTTGGGTGCTTGCTATTCCGCTTCTGAACCAGCTTTCTACTACATTTCTACATTGCCCAAATGCAATGATGCCTCTTATTTGTTTGTTTGTTTGCATTGGAAAGATAGACTTATAGAGAAGGAGACAGAAAGATCTTCCATCTGCTGGTTCATACCCAAAATGGCTGGAACAGCCAGAGATGAGCCAGTCCAAACCCAAGAACCAGAAACCTTTCCTGGGTCTCCCATGCAGGTGCAGGGTCCCAAGGCTTTAGGCCATCTTCTGCTACTTTCTCAGGCCACAAGCAGGGAAGGATGGGAAATGGAGCAGCCTGGATATGAACCAGTGTCCATGTGGGATCCCAGCACTTGAAGGGGAGGATTAGCCAGTTGAGTCATTGAGCCAGGCCTTACTTAAATCTCCCTTTCAAATAAAGAAATCTTTTTTTAAAATCTGGAAAGGATTACATGTGTCATCTGACTTGAATATCAGATACCAATGTAACTCAAGTATACGAGTGTACTAGGGATTACCCTTTTCTTCAACCAATGGAGTTCTTTCTGTAGACAACGATGGGGCTCTCCATGTTCTACTAAGGCTTCGAGGAACCAGGCACAGTTCAATCATTAAGAAGCTCAGCAAGCTGAGAAAGCAAAGATTAAAAACGTAATCTGGGGAAGTTAACCCCAAAAATACTAGATAATATCTTCTCTTAAAATTTGGTTTTGCTCTGTTTTGTTTATTATTTTAAGAAAGAGAGAGACAGAGAAAGACCTACCACCTACTGGCTCATTCCAAAACTCCAGTAACAGCCAGAGCTGAGCCAGGCCAAAGCCAGGAACCAGGAGCTCAATCCAGGGAACAACACAAGTACTTCAGCCTCATCTACTGCCTTTCAGGAATGCGCATTAGCAGGAAACTGTACTCCGAGGCAGAGCATGGTGCCAAACCCAGACACCCAGATAAGCTATGCGGCGTTCCAAGTAGCATCCTGACCGCTGCACCAAACACCCACCACGAGGGTAAGCACACTTAACCTCAAGAGATAAAGCTCTCTCTCTCCTCCATTGCCAGCCTTGACCGTCCTTAGGCTGAACTCCTTTGCCACCACTGTTTCCCTCATTTACTGACAGTTGTGCCAGTCTACTTCACTTTCTGCTCATTTCAGCTTGTCTTTGTCGGTTTGTGTGTACACGTAGACGACCTCTCCATGGCCTGGCTCACTCCCATGCCACAGACTTTACTGCTACAAATCATAAACTTTCTGACCATGATCTTCTATTGATGCAGATAATTCTTTCTGGGATTCCCATCCCAATAATCTTTTAGCCCCTCTGAGAGCAATAATCTGCATTTCCTGTTCCTCTCTTATTCCCACCCCCCGACTCCTACATTACAACTCCAGTCCCTCCCTAGCAATTCCTGCTCCACTTTTGCTTTGCCTTTTAGATAACTTTGATCAACTAAAACACTCTATGATTGAGCCTTTGCATGCTACAGCTCAACACATAAGTGCATATGCTGACTGATGTCATGTTAAAATCCTCGAAGGACCACTTGAGTAAATGCTTCCCAATACCTGGCGGTTACATTTCCTCATGGCATTCGTAACTGCAGTATCCTAAGGCTTTATTAATTTTCCTCTCTCCTGATAACTTCTCATTTGATCCTCCCTTCAGATCTCTTCAGTGACCTTCCTTGCTTTAAGAATTGGCTACCGGCACAGTAGCCTAGTAGATTAAGTCCTCGTCTTGAACACGCCAGGATCCCATAGGGGCGTCGGTTCTGATCCTGGCAGCCCCACTTTCCATCCAGCTCCCTACTTGTGGCCTGGGAAAGCAGTTGAGGATGGCCCTAAGCCTTAGGACCCTGCACCTGTATGGGAAACCCAGAAGTTTCTGGCTCCTGGCTTTGGATCAGCTCAGCTCTGGCCGTTGCGCTCACTTGGGGAGTGAATCATCAAACGGAAGATCTTCCTCTCTGTCTCTCCACCTATCCGTATATCTGGCTTTGCAATAAACGCAAATAAATCTTAAAAAAAAAAGAATTGGATGTTCAGCTCCTGGAAATGTATCCAAATGAAATGAAATCAGCCTATGAGAGAGCTCTCTGTACCTGCATGTTTACAGCAGCTCAGCTCAGTTCACAACAGGTGATATGTGGACTCAACCCAAAGTCCATGAGCTGATGGACACACACACACACACTGGAGTACTAGGCCACCATGAAAAAAAAAATAACAAAATCTTGTATTTTGCAACCAAACGGATACAACTGAAAAACAGATTGCTAAGTGGAATAAGACCCAAAAGGACAAATGATCTGTGATAGCTAATTCAAAGAGTACTAAAAACAGAATCTCCATGAGTGAGATCGGTATTTTGGAATTTGATTATTGCTTGCAGCTTTTGTCTATAGTCCTGAGGAATTGTAGCCTTTTTGTTGTTGTTCTTTTGTTTTCTGCTTGCTGTGAGTTCGTATTTTCGCCTAATGGAGTGTGTTAGGCCTGTGATCAGGAAATGAAATGAAAGTATGTCATTGTAGAAAGTAGAAGAAAAATAAACAAATAAGGAAGAAGGAGGGAACGTGGACAGGAAGAAGGGTAGGGTGGGGAGTGTCACTCTAAATCTGTATCGTGAAATACACGAAACGTGTTCACTTCATATACGTAAATAAATAATGGGATGCTTTGGAAGTGGAATGTCACAGGAATTCCACCGTCATACACTTCCCCAAGAGCATCCGTAGTCACGTACTCTACCCTCCATTCTATTAGACAAACTCTCCCTGATCCAATGTACGGATAACCCTTGTGTTATGTGCTAAGTTGCTATATGCTGTCAGCCATTTAAGATGCAGATCCAATAACTTCTACCCTCCTGACAACGTCTTTCACCTCAACATATGAACCCATTTTTGCTTCTTCATGTAAAGTCTTAAACTAACTCACTCTTCCAGAAAGTAGCCCATTTCCTGCTCCTTTTTCCAACACCTTTTGAACAATTAACTAACCTCCCTCAATCCTCTGTTTTATAAAACTTGTCTCATCCAGGGTGTCATCTCTATCATTCCACTGAAACTGCCCATCAGGCCAGCCAGCACCTGACACGATGGTCAAGTCTCAGCCTGGGCACACAGAACTACCCCCTTCTTGACATGCTTCTTTACCTTGTTTTTTTAAACATTGAACTGAGTTCCTTCTCCCTCCATAGTTTCATCTTATAAATTTCAAGTGAATCCTCTCTCCAGAATATTCTTTCTCCAGGTATCTGCCTTCTTTATTTCTTCCTGAGAATCATTGCCAAATGCTTCTTTCTGGATAACTCAGGATTCACTCTAAAACTACAATCGTGTAGCAGGTATTTGGCATAGTGGTTAAGAGCCCGTTTGGGGCATCCACACCTCATCTCATTGCGCTTGGATTTTGAGTCCCAGTTCCAGTCCCAATTCCAGTTTCTTGCTGATATATACGGAAGTAGCAGGTGGCACCTGGCTTTCATCTGACCCAGTCCAGCTGTTGGAGCCGTTTGGGGGAATGAACCAGTAGAGCAGAAATCTCTCTCTCTCTCAAATAAGTCGATAATTTACAATTCTCTCTCTTCCATGTTCTGTTGTTTTCCCAAGCTTACTCAATGGCATGTAACACAATGTATTTATTATGTTTAGTGGTTACTGTCGCCTACCTTCAGTGCAGTGTCAGCTCTTACAAGAGCAGGAATCGTTTTTGTTTTGCTCATGATGCATTCATACTCCCAGAATAGTATATAAGCACATATATCGTGCTCAATAAGCAACTGGTGGGTGAATAAGTCAAATAAACATCTACTGTGATAAGAAAAGTGTGTATATTTGGCACTTAAAA